GGTCGGGATATGACTGATTTGGCATACATGGAGATTTTTCCAGCACATGTTTTTGAAATGTGGAAACAAGTTAAAACAATCTGGGGGATGAAATAACCCTCAATGAAGGATTTATGACCCCGTAATTCTAAAATGTCTGCATCAATCAAGGAAAAAAGTTAATTTTATGAGCCACGTTAGTTCACAGAACAAATTTCAATGACACGAAAATAAAACAAAGGCACCAATTAGTTTACAAATGCGTCTCATCCATAGATTTATTACAAGAAATGAGATCTCTGGTGCTTGAAAGACTGCAGTGAGCGTCTACCACTCACTAGCCTGTCACATCCGTGAACTCAGGCTTCTTGCGGTCAGAGCTCCTCCCCCATTTTTGACCCTCAATTATTTAAACAAGTTCCAACTCTGAACACAATGGTTCCCATGGTGATAGAAATTCTGCAATTAAGGGACAAGAGTTATAGGAATGATTCATATGTCACTTGTAAATGCTGTGTGACACGGGAGAAAATACTGGAACTCAGTATTGCATATGCTGTGAGGAAGCTGAAGCAAACCCCCAATGAAGACCCAGCTATTCTACTGAAAACAAAACGATTCGGATGCGCACTCTTACTTTTGTTTCTTTTTACACAAGCTGTTCTTTATGGATGGAGGTGGGGACGATACACAAACAGGAAGGCAGACACATACAGGGGGGTGGAGGAGCAGACTGGAGACATGCACAGACATACACAGAGGAGAGAGGGAGAGGGGAGGGAGGGAGGGAGGAAGGGAGAGAGAGAGAGAGAGAGAGAGAGAGAGAGAGAGAGAGAGAGAGAGAGAGAGAGAGAGTGAGAGTGCACCAGCGCACAGTTTCTGCCATTACTAGTGGTCAGTTATAATGGCTCCTTTAAAGAAGCCACCATCTATGTTGCCAAAGCCAGAGGCCTTGAACCAAACCAATGAGCTCATTCCAATGAACACTTACAAGTAAAGATGTATGGACTAAAGGGTGTTCTGTGTCAAACCATGAGAATTTTGTTTGTTTGTGGTTTTCATTTTTCTTAGGGGTGGATACAAAGGGACAGGAAACGAATGGGATCGGGATGTACAATGTGAAATTCACAAAGAATCAATAAAATAGTTAAAAACAAAAAAGAAGTCACCACCTTAAACATTGAGGACATCATCCCAGGAAGCTTCAAAACAAACAAACAAACAAACAAAAAACTAAAATTATCACAGCTTCTATGTCTTGATGAGCCTTTGAAAAAATGGGCAGGAAAAATTATTTGCTGTGAATATTTGTCAGTTGAGATCTTAGTGAGAAGACAGCAGGTGACAAACAGGGAAAAGAGGTGATACACACATGTCCCATACCCTCAAACATGCACCCCCTTTAATACAAAACACGTTTGCGTGGGGGAAGCTAACGTCCTGATCCCACAACTCATCAGTTACCACATTAACCTGAACAATGAGTTCAAAGTGGCAAAGTCAATAGAAACAACAACAAAACCAGGAGAACAATGTAATCATGATGCCAGTTGTATAGTGATTAATTTCTCTTGACCTGAAAGCCAGAAATCAATCTGAAAGGGCAGGGCTACTCTACATTCCCAAGAAAAAGAACTCTTCTAAAGCAAAACCAAACCCCACACCTTCCTGGCATCTGGACCAACATGAAAGACTTCATCATCTGGTATTCTTGGAGCACAGCTCTGGGAATGGAGAGGCAAATAGTACTCCACTCCATAAATGATGAAAGCAAGACGCAAGAGCCGTCATCCTTACTATGGCTGTATGGCTCACATCCCGGGTGAAACCTATGTAAATGGATTAAAATCAATAGGAATGTCCACAGCTGGAAGAGGGGCCATCAAAACCAATGAAACGTCTTTGTATTTTAGCTTCCATTTTAATTCTCCACATTCTAGACATCTCTCAAAAAATGCCATTATCAATGACTCTCAGGGAGGAGGCAGAGAAGATGATTTTACCTCCACGTCTTCCTTAACCTGTGACAGGCTGCCCTAATCAGCTTTCATGCACACAGGCACACAAGCTCCTCGCATGGCTCCTAATCACCATGTACCAGGCTGAACAGCTGCAGAGGTCTGAAGGGAATTGGCAGAAATGTGCAATGATGTGCTAGCCACCCCCCTTGAGGCATCGACTGCCCTGCCTGCTCCCAGACGCCAGAGCTCATGGGTGTTGACTGTCATAGCTGACAGGCAAGTAAATGGTTTCAGGTGGTGAATCAGGAGAAGTGGTTTTGCATCAGGAATGCTCCAACCCAGCAGAGCTAAGATTCATCCAGCTCCCTTCATGAGGATACAGTATTCATCATTTACACAATGTCACTGTGGGGGGACAAAGCTTAGTCTCAACACAAACAGAATTTAATCAAGGCTCTTTCAAAGGAACCAGTAAATGAGGCTGCTCCTACTAAGGCTTAAGAATACCATGCCTGACACTTGAGGTCAGTCCTTTTACCCTGTGATGGAAGACTTTACGGTGGCCTGCCACACAGTCCTTGAGAGCATAGCCCTGGCTAGCCCCCTCCAGGATGACTCCGCAGCAGCTGTAATAGCCTGTGATCTGTGTGCCCAGGGATGGCCCAGAATCACAGCAGGACAAGACCTAAAGGAAACTAGCAGGTGCCATGATATATGACAGACCCTACCACACAAATCAAGTACGCGCTGTCACTTCTGCGTGACTGCGCAGGCTTCCTTCAGAGTCCACGGAATTCCTTGCCTGTCTATATGCAACTGTTTCTGAGACACTGGATGAGTGATACGATATCAAGTGGGAGAGAGAGAGAGAGAGAGAGATGTTAGACGTTACATCAGATAAGACGGGATCTGGAAATTGAAAGAGACTTAAAGCCATCATTCGCACTACACTTCATAAATGAATACAGCACTCTGTCAGGTTTATACGATGACAAATGAGCCTGCTCTCTGAAGAAACCTGAGGAGACTTAATACTCATTTTAGGGAATCCAGAATTAGTGATTTCAACTTATATCAAACCAAAATATCTTGCTATGATTTACCATGCTACTAACCATGAGATATATATATATATATATAATAAATCTACTTAAATGGTTTGTTTATTTAAGATGGTTTAGCATACAATCTAGGCTGACCTTCAACTTTTGACTTCCTTGCTTCAAATTCTCAAACGCTAGGACCGCAGGCAGGTGCCACCATTCCCAGACAAGTAACTGAATCTTGTCTGTGGGTAGGAATGGGTGCATCGTACACCAGCTGAGACTCAAGAGTTGTAACACAGGTTTAATGGTTAAGACCAGATATCTGTGGCCTGTGTCACCTCAAGGACCATGTAAGGTGAAATAAAAGTGCCATGCTGAACTTGCCTCCCCTTCACTGGCCCTGGGAAAGCTAGCCCTGCCTCTCACTGGACACTGCAGCAAGAAAGCTGACCCTTGCACGCAGTACAAATGGCCATACCACTCACAACAGGTGTGGGAAAATTGACCCCTTGTGGCATGGGTTTAGGGATGCTGGATCCTCCCCCTGGACGGAGGTGGGCAGCCCCAGAGGTTAGAATTGACCAGCTCATTTACCACCCAGCCCACAGTTGGGTCTTGGGTTGGCACACCCTAGCATCTACCCCATCTAGATCGTGTTAGAGCTCTTAAAGGACAGATCCTGAGGAATGATAACCATAGGATCTCCATGACTCGGGGCAGCCTTAGATATCCCAGCGCAGTTCAGATGAGGATCAAGTGATGATGGTGTACCAGAAAGCAGAGGCCTTGAACCAATCCGATGACTCACTGAATAAACACTTGCTAGGAAAACAAATTGGACAACAGGGTATACTTTGTGACCCACCATTCCCATAACCACCAGGACAGATAAAATTATTGGAGAGACAGAAAAGATGAAGAAGCAAAGAAGTTTTTATTTTCATTTTGTTCTCATTTTTGTTTGCTTGCTTGCTTTGTTTTGTTTTAAATTTTTGTTAGAAGGTGCTGCAGGGGTGATGGGGATAAAGAGGGACTAGAAGGTAAACAGAAATGGGGTTCGTCATGTGAAATACCCAAATAATCAATAACAAAAAAAAGACCAGATCAAAAGAGATTATGATATTCTGAAGAATATAGTATTCAGAAGACATTATAATATAAAATATTTATAATATAAAAATTAACCCATAACATGAAATCTCTACTAAAATGCTAAACTAAAATATGATTCACAGTGCCTTCCTGAACAGCCATCCCATCATTTTCTTGGTCCATCCATCCAGGACACAACTGGTCCTAGGCTTTGGAGTGAGATGGCAAGAAAAATAAAGGTACATTAAAAAGCTCACTATTCATAACACTTGGAGAACATGATCATAAAACTAATAATATTGGGACCTGCGCTGTAGGTTTCCAAGCTCTTAGACTATAAAGTCAACATACTACCCAGAGAACAGTCTTCACAGGGGCTCCTATAGAGCCAGGCAACCATTTCCCTTTGAAGCCCCTACTGTCTCAGTAGCTAGAGCAGCGGCTATTGGAGATTTCAAAGGTCAGGTCGCATTTACATACAATGCATTTCCCTATGCAAGCTCATAACAGAGGAGAACATGACTTCCCTCTCCTATAGTCATCTTGCTCCTTAAAAGTGGAAGAAACACAAAAGGCAGCAATTTTTCCTCACTACTAACTCCCATGGCCCCAGACTTATAGTGGAGGTAGCGGCAGAGAATAGTAGAGCCAACTGAATGCAGCTTGGGGCAATATGCAATCACTGAAACTGGAATTGAGCCTGGAACCCGCCGTGAGAGCACTGACAATCAAACTATGGTCAGGGCCCCAATTTTAACCCTCTCCCGAAGGGTACCACTTCCTGACACACAGTCACACCTCTCTTCACATCAAAGTAATTCCACCTGGCTTGGTCAGGAGTGTCATCTGCTGCTAGGTTAAATTATCACTCCTAAGCATGACACTAAGTTCAAACACGTGCAAATGTATGCTCATCACTTACCTTCTTCCCGATGAGCTTTTTCCGAAGAAATTCCCGGGCCTCAAACATGTAGGGAATGTCATATAGGGGGCGCAGTTTCTTGTTCTTATCCTGCAAGCAAAACAGAATATGCTATTAGAAATGGAAAAAGTTAACAAGGGCAATACTACAGTACAGGAATATATGTGAAACTGCTTATCTCCTAGAATCATAAATAGTAACTAAACACTAGACACCTTATAACTGGTCACTAAATAAATAGTTGATTGAAATGCTTTCTTGGGAGGAAAATTTCTTTTTCAAGTGGCAGGCTCAAAAGGAACAATTGGCATACAACTGTAGTGACCCAAGCAGGAAATAAGCAACACAGAAGAAATTCAGTATACACCGAGACCCATTGGACGCATGCACACATACATGTGCTAAATCTAATTTCAAGACAGCTATTAAGTAACTACCAACTAATAACTATATATAAACTTTACATTCTGAACACAAAACAAAGTTTAACATAGTAATAGAAGAAATACAAAGCAGCAACACTAAACAGTTTTCAGTAAGTATGAAGTGATGTGATAAGAATTCAGAGAAATGGAAAAAATAAATAATTCAGGAAAGTTTTATTGATATAGAATTCAATATATGTCGAGGACAGGAGAAAACAAGACAAAAACCGCTATTGTAAAAATTGGAATCACAAAAAAAAACGTACAAGGAAAGAGACAGAAAGGATGTATTTCAACATACACAATTAGGATCATCACCTTATGGCCCTACACACCTCTTCCAAGGCTGCTCCAAACAACTGTCACCTACAGTTGATCAGAAGGTCTTGATGAAGGAGACAGGAGTAGGAATACATAGAACTTAAGAAGCCTTTAAAGAAATGAATTAAGAGAACGTGGCAACACAGTGAACCGAGGGGAGGAGAAAAGGAGAGGAATCCAACCCCGTGTCACGATGACAGGACTAAGAAGTCCAGTCCAGAGCTGCCCGCCTATGGTGGGGGTGTGGAAACTTGAGGAATGTGCTTCATATAACCTGATATGATTGCAATAGTGTCTCTTTCACATGAGACTCTAAGTTCCAAGACAGCAAGACCCTACACATGTCTTTCTTCCTTTAAATCCTCAGAGCCACACACAGTATATCCCTTTTGGTATGTATTCAGATTAAGTATGGTAGGAGAACATGACTGCATGTACAGATTTAAGGCTCTGCAAGTTCCATGTTATATCTTGGGGGGCGGGTGTATGAAGGAGAAACCAGGAACTACTTCCTATCGTAGAGAGATTTCCATTCTCCACAGCTGGCTGACCTGGTCAAGTCTTTGTCATCTATTTTGTATCTGACAAAGGGAGATGCCTCTGTCCCATTTGAGTAATACTTTAAAAAAAGGTATTTGTAACTTCTTTTTACCTTAAATAGCTTTCAAGTAAAGAACTTTCATCATTTTAATGCTACTTTGAAAACTCATCCTAAAGTCAATATTAAGGAAAAAGGAAATGAAGTAGGTGTTTCCTCTTAGAAGCTAACTGAACTTTGATGTATTGAACACATAATAAGACATTTCAATTCACTGCCATGACCAAGAAAAGCTCTTATGAGAATGTAAATAATTCTTTCAGTTACAAAGAACTTTGAGCTTCCTATTCATCATGCCACTGACATCAACTTCCTCTGTGGAATTTAGAAGAGGGGAAGATGATCATTGTCCCAGCACTCTCAGAAAGAGAAGGCACATCTTTTCAAGAGCACGAGCATCCAAGCTCAGAACAAGGTCCTGAGGCAACAGGACCACTATCTATGTTTAGGTACTGCCTAAACATGAGAATTTCACAGAATAAGAGAAAAGTCAACATGGAGGTACTGAGGAGGGATTGCCCAGCCTAAGGGAATGCTGGATAATAATAAATTAAAAAAAAAAAAAAAAACAATTGAAAAATATGTATTATAGATATTTTATAAATATCCTGGAAGACAGGCATAATCAAGGGTCCACAAATTTCAAGAAGCTGTTGCACAGCAGGAAGTTAACCAAGCCCTCAAGTTACAGAAAGCTGAATCTAAAAGTTCACATCCTTCCCTAAAGTTAAAGAAGCCCTAAAGAATTCCTGGGGAGAAGAGAACCCCTTGCCTATCAAACAGCCTGCAACTCATGCTAGGGTGGACTTCTCCGTGGTGTGGGAACCTTTGAGTCATTCATGCTCCTGTAAAGGACCACATCCACTTTGGTAAAACCAGTAAATTCCTTGGTTTGGCAAGACAGATTCTGCTAGAATTGTCTCTTTGACCTGTCATAAATAGATGTTTGCTGCCAGGTATAACATTTAACATAGAGGTCCTAAAGAAAGTTAGTGATGACCTTTAATGCCACAGAAGACTTGCTGACAGATGTTACTTACTAGCATTGGACAGGATTCCATTTTGTTTTGCTTTGTGGTAAGGAGACTCAAACCAAAGCTTTGCAAATGCTAGCAAAGTCCTCTGTCATTGAACTCTATCCCAGCTCCAACAGGATTTTTAATAAAGACAAAAATCAATGCGTATCAGAATCAGCCCTCAGGAATAAAATAAAACCAATGGATTCACACTCACCACGCAAGAGAGGAAAATCTATTTACAAAGAGTAGCAGCGTGATTACAAAAACCTCAATGAACAAAAAAATGTTTTAAATTAATTGAACAAAGCAATGAAGTTGACTATCCACAGCCTGAATTTCAGTGCCTTACCTACATACCCTGAAACTCTATACAGGAATGAGAAAATGACAGCTGATTGGAATGTTATAAACTAAAAATGGAGTACATTTCCAGAAAGTATCCCAGTGAAGGCCACAGGATGATATATATATACACACACACACGACAACTGGTTATGTAAACAAGAATACTGTTCTGAAGCTACTCTTCAGGGCTGGCCAGATACAAAATCCCCTCAAAAGAAGGAAAGCGAAGAAATAGTATGTCACCAAGCACCCTACTTAAAAAAAAAAAAAAAAACAGGGCAAACTCAGACTCTGATTATATGTCTCTCATGAAGCTAGGAAAGAAGAAAAACCACAAGCAGAAAACAAGGGATCGCAAGAGAAAAAGGAACGATCTTGTTACTCTAACCCTTCAGAGCTAGGAGCTATTGACATCTACAAACATCTTACAAGAGAGATATTAGAAGTCCCTAAGAAGCCACAAAATAAAAGCAATTCCTCCAAATTACCAGGTACATAAAAGCCTTCGAAATCTCTAAGAGGCAATTGAGGTATGGAATGTATTCTGGGGGAACAGGACTGCAGCTGAATCTTCCTGCTAAAAGGGACTGTCTAGTTTAGATTCTAATTTACATGAAAATATTTTTTTCAAAATAAAAATAGAAGAGAATGCTTGCTTTATCTGGTGGGCGGATAATACACAAACCAATATGTGCTGTGATCACCATTCCTCCTGAGAACTGACATTGCGTGTAGGCCCTGCAATGACTCACATTAGAGACAGAGAGATAACTGCAATCATCCGTCCCTCTCCTCCAGCAAGAGGCCCAATACCCATAACTCAGCACATAAATATACACCCAGCCTTTTGACAGGAGGCATTTTGTGCCAGTAGCCAAAATAGTGAAGTGTGGGGTCAAAGAGCTTTTGAAGGGCAAAGCAGAGACCTCCTATCAAATCCTTGCTTTCGGGCTTTGCCTAACCCATCCCTAAAATCTGTAGCCATAAAAATATAATGACTTGGAAACAGTACAGTACTTCTTGGGGTTCAATAGGATGGGGCTAGGGGTAAGTAAAAGGTGGGTAAGACTTTTTAAAGTTCTCTATCAAAAACACAGAGCAAAGTAACGCGCAGACTTACTGGGTGTTAAAATAAATGCGGGAGCAGAGGGAAGGAGAAGAAACTTGAGTGGGCGCTGACATGACGTGCCTGTGGCAGGGTTCTCTGAGATTACATCTTCTCAGGGATTCGAGGGAGATATGGTCATCGGAATTCAGGCAAAGAGAACTAAGTGCAAACCAGGAGCGCCGGGTGGGCTCAAGACAAGACAAAGAAACTAGGCCTCTGGAACAAAAGGCAGGAGACAGGAAAAAGCAGCTTTATTTCCCAACTACCTCAACTTAAATCCTCCACTCAAAATACTTCTTAGAGGCATGTGATTAGCATCTGGACCACCCTGATCTTCAGGTGGAGGATTTACATTGCAACAAGGGAAATTAAAACAGCAATCCAGGTAGAACATGATAGTGGATAACAAATGGGTAGTAGCAGTAAAGAGGTAAGCTGTGGTCAGAAATGCAAGAATTGATAGGGAGACACTAACATAATGTGAAACGCCTAAGAAAGGCAAGAATCAGGACGACTTTTGGATCCAATAAGTAGGGGTAGTAAAATGAAAGAGGGAACGAGATGGCGTGGGCTAGAGAAAGGAGTCAGAGAAGGCCTGCAGTTGTGGGTCTGCAAGCTTCAGCTGCTAAGAAGCACGCGGAGCAGAATGGGCAGCTGGATGCACAAAGGTGGACTGGAGTGTGTGCGAACTGGTTTACTAGTCTGAAAGCATGGACAGAGATAACTGGATCCTCAGGAATGTGTCTAACACTGAGAGGTAATGCATCTGTATGGGGAGAGAGAGGAGCAACTAAGAAGAGTGATCAACTGTATCAGATACTGCAAACTTGCCCAAGCAAGATAGGGCTGAAGGCTCAAATTCTGTATCCAGCTAAGCGTGGTCTTGTTAAATTCATGAGGGGTAGCACTTGGGGACAGTAGGAGTAAAAGCCACATTAGATACAAGAATGAATATACAAGATAATGGAAAGAACAAAAAATTGAGAGAAAGCAAGAAACGACTTCAAAGATTCTGCTGGAAACCAGACAGAAATGAGGCAGGAGCTGGGAGAAGAATGGGGTGAAGAGTTTGGGGTTTCAATTGCAGATGAGTTCACCAGTACAAGGATGAGTGACATCAGAACAGAGGCAAGAACTACTAAAGCAGTGTCCTTAAATGCCAACGGGAAAACGCTTTGCACAGATAGAGCAACCTACTGCCGGTCTACATCTGTGCTCATGAAAGTCTCTGTTAGATGTAGGGGCAGGTGCTAGAACTTTCTTCTAATCATATC